TGTGAACTCTCATCTGCTTTCCAAGAAACTATGGCCATCCTCTGTCATGATTTTGATGCCACAACCCTTAACGCCTGTTCTGTGTACAATTATCCAAGACCACTGCCTTCTCTCCGTTATTTTATTTTATGTTCTTCTGAACCACGGACTCACATCAAGACATCCCAGAAGTATGTGAAACCACCTGAAAGTCTCTATCCAGGGATAGGGATTTTACCTAGATTAAATCTAGGTCTTGATTCAACAAAATCGATTCCAGAAACCCTGAGCCAGCAAAGGAAGGCGACCTGAAGTTTCAGAGAGTCCTACTGGCAAGTATGGGTGGCTTTTTGTTTTGTTTTGTTTCTGAAGAAATGAAAGCTGCCTTATCAAAGGCACTTTTGTTTGCAAACAACAGAAAATCTCTTGCACCAGCTCTACTAGATAAACAGGATTTATTACAAGACTACCTAAGCATTTGGAACCCCAGGGGAAAAAGGGGTAAAAAAAACGGGCCCCCCGAAGGCCAAAACAAGGGGCCGCCAAAAAAAACGTAAAAAAAAAGCCCCAACCCCCCCGGGCCCCCCCCAAAAAACAACCGAAAAAAAATAAATTGTGTTCAATGAGGAACCACCCATTGGCTCTTACGCACTTTTCCCCGCCGGCCGGCCCCAACCCCGGGGCAATGCCCTTGAACCAATTCGGAAACCCTTGGAAAAGGGAAGGAAACGAAAAAAGCAAAACGGCCTGGTCAAAAAAAGTTCAAACGAAACCCAAAAAAAAAAAAAAAAAAAAAACCAACCCCAGTTTTGTCTTCATTTGCAATTCAATGTCTTTGCTTCCTATGAATTTCTGCAATTTTTTTCCCTTTGAACCATTGACAATATCTGTGTGGTTGTCTCATTGATTAATGAGTAAAATAAAATCATTCACATGTCCTTCTTTTTTTAACCTGTGTGAAAGTCATGCTTTTGCTTTTTTTTTTTTTCCTGAAATAGTCTTTCCACATCTTGCGTTTACTAATTCTGAAGGCACGTGGCAACGTGGCTGTTCCATCCCACGCCGACTTTGTGTGACCTTGCTTCAGACTAACAGTGCCCCTAAATCTCAGTTCCAAATTCCTGATGGAGAAAGACGTGTTTGTTGTGTGTCCAGCCGGCATCATTCCACCCTGGCTTCAATTAAGTGTGTCCAGAGGGTGATGTCTGCAGTGTGATAGGTTTGCTGCACACAGCCCAGGATGTCGCATGTGGGGGAAGAAGTTCTCAGGAGTGTATATGTGTGTGTGTGTGTGTGTGTTTGTGCGAGCGACTGTGAGCTCTTGGTGGTCAGGCATGATTCCTGTACAGAGCAGATATGCAAAACAAAAGTTCGGTTGTTGCCACAGATTTAAGGGCTGTGAAAGTAACTTGTACATCCCTTATAGAGTCGGGTTGCAAAAGAGACCCTCAGGCCTTGGACTGGTACCGGTCCCTGGCCTGTTAGGAATTGGGCTGCACAACAGGAGGTGAGAAGTGGATGAGTAAGGGAAGCTTCATCTGTATTTACAGCTACTCCCCATCACTTGCATCACCGCATAAGCTCCGCCTCCTGTCAGATCAGCAGGTGCATTCGATTCTCAGAGGAGCACGAACCCTACTGTAAACTGCACATGCAAGGGATCCAAGTTGCACACTCCTTATGAGAATCTAGTGCCTGGTGATCTGAGGTGGAGCTTAGGTGGTGATGCTAGTTCTGAGGAGTGGCTGCAAATACAGATTATCATTAGCAGAGAGGTTTGACTGCACAATAAATGCAATGTCCTTGAATCATCCTGAAACCGTCCCTCCCACCCCAGTGCATGGAAAAATCGTCTTCCATGAAACTGGTTCTTGGCGCCAAAAAGGTTGAGGACCACTGCTCCAACAGGAATGAACAGCACACTTTCATTCATCTCACAAACTTTGTTAAACTGTGTCAGTTTTGTAGACCTGTTGCTGGAGGCTCTCCTATATCCACAGGAAATACAAAACAGACACATGACTCGCTGTGATTCAAATTAGCGTGTGATGTAAAGGGCTATAAAAAATTACAGATAAAGGTCTGGAAGTGGACAAAATTACTTCTTCCTGGAGGGAACTAAATATTTATGGTAAAAGTAGCATTTGGTGAGGACCTTCAGTAAGAGACAGACTGGAACGTGTGGGGTACAGGTGTAGTGGGGGGGCTAGTAGGGGTAGAGGAGGTTCCCCCAAGTTCCAGGTGGCAGGGACAGCACAAGCAAAGGTTTTGAAGCCAGGAACTTTTGGTGGGAGGGGAGGCATCAGTAGTTTGGCCGTGACTACAGCATTGCTCAGGCTGGGCGGAGGGATATTCATGTTCCCAGGTAGGGACCGATTCACCTACTCCGGGGCAAAACAGGATCTTCCTGAGGTTCATGGCCAGGCTTTGAGAGTGGACTTTCAGAACCACCTCAATCCAGGATGCACACAGCAGAACCCAATTGTAGTTAGTTCTAGTGAAAAATCATGTCTCTTCCAAGACAAAAGGGCATGTCACAGCGGCAAAGGGAAGTTGGGCCTCCCACAAGGCAAGGATCGGAAAGTTTTAAGACAAAGTTTACTGTCCCTATGTGTTTTCTGCCAGAGCCAGACATCGTGGACCTACAGGATGCTTCATGGTGTGTCTGGAAGGTCTGAACCACTTCATTAACGCAGGTGAGATGCTACACGGTACAGGAAAGGCAAGATAAGACTTTATTTACAAAAGAGCTAAGCATCTTTTTAATGTTTGACAGCCTACTTTCCTGCAAGGAACTGCCAAACCTGTGATTCTGATATTTAAAATATTATAAAGTAGACTGCAGTAAATTTTAGGAGAAACACATTTGAGACTTCTTGTATCTCCAGAACCACATTCTTTAAACCATATGAGTTCTTTTGTTCGGAGTTTGGCACGTTAAAAATTATATCCCATTTCCACGGGCTGTTTGTGTCCTCCTGGCATTACAGAACAATTTATTGTTTGTTTATTCTTTTACAATTCCTGAAATTGAGTCAGTCACGTGAGAGCCTTTCCATCAACCTAGGGGGCAATTAGATTGCCGCGTTCACACTGAAGTATCTTCACACGAAATGTGGATCCTGAGGGCGTGAAAGATTGAAAAGCACTCTGGCAGGGGAAAAGCTTGTAGCAAAATTCATTCAATTATTCATTCAGAGGTCCGGAAACAACAATTGCAACTTGCAGGTAAATGCAGCTCCGTCCCTAAACTTCCCCGAAGTAAGCCAGCAAAAGCGAAGGCACAGGATCGGAATTTAAATCAGCCTCTTTAACCCACAGCTGCATGGCGTGGGGATGAATTATGAATGAAACGGCCGAGAAGGAAGGATGGGAACAGGCAAGAGCCAAAGCTAATCCATGAGACCTGGTCCAAGGCTGAGAAACCACTGGGTGGAAAGTTAAAAGAAAAACTTGGACAGAGTCATTTTCTAACTTTAAAAGGTTTTTATTTCAAATGTATATTGTGGTTGTGAAATACACATGGCTCCAAAATCTCTACACGTTGGAATAAATGAGGGTGCAACTTGGAAGGGTCTGTGAAAATTGAGCAACCGTAATTCAGATTTTTCCATTTCACAGAACCAGTAGTTTTGTATTCCGTCATTTCGTTTCCTCTTAGGTCCTCTTCAGATACATATTTTTTTAAGTCAAGAGAAAAATCTCTGGTAGGTAAATGTCAGTCTAAAAGAAGGAAACAAACAAAGACTATATATAACAAAGAAAAGAAAAATAAATAAATAAAAGAAGGAAACAATGAAGCCAACCAGGAAGGCAAATTTGTTTTCTTATTCTTTTCTTTTGGGAGGTGACCTGGTTGCCAGGGTTGTAAACAACATGCGAACATACTACAGAGGGACCTTCCATGTTGAACCAATTGAAAACACACTGGGTACTGGTTCTCCCTGGGGATTAAAATACATGCCACGGAGATAGTTTGTGTTTATTGCAGTCTTTTAACTTTATAGTCTACTTCATGTCTGTGTGTTGTTCACCATTTGATTTGTAGCTAGTATCTGCCTTCCGAGATGGCAGCTCAGCACTTGATGTTTCCACTACATAATCATCGCTGGATTCTGCGCCCTACCTCCAAGGAGCCGCTTTTTCCATGGCTGATAAATGCTTGTGTGCGCCAACATCTGTTATTTTTGAAAATTTTTATTTTAACATGATTTTAAACTCCCAGAAAAGTTGCAAAAATAGTACACAGAACTCCTGTGTACATTTTATATAGACTCACAAATTGTATTTTGAACCATTTGCTTGCTCTCTTGTTTCTTTTCTCTCCTCCTCTCTCTCCCTCCTTTCTCTCCTCCTCTCTCTCTTTCTCTCTCTCCCTCCTCTCTCTCTCCTCTCTCTTCTCTCTTGACCATTGATAGTAGATTACACACCATGATCTTTTGCTCCTAAATATTTCAGTGTGTGTGTCTTAAGAAGAACAAAGATAATCTCTCAAACAACTATGCTGCAATGTTCAAAATCATTAACCTTGATGAAGGGAAGCAAGGTACCAGCTGAAGTGAGACATTTCCATGTTTCCTTTCTGCTCTGCAAATATTTGATAAAACGGGTCGGCCTTTGGAAAGTGAGACTGGGTGAGAAGGGAGGCACTTGGGGAGAATGAGGAGGTGAATATAGGAGGGTCTGGTATTATTTTTTTCAGTGATGATTAGGAAATAAGAGATGAGAACAGAGATCCTGGAGAGTTGAACGTGCATCTCAAGGTGGGGCAGTGGGAACATCTAATGCAACCATTCTACAACCGATTTGCTTAGACTTTGTGTTAGTTGTCTGTTGCTGCAATCACCACAAACCTAGCAGCACTGATTTGTTATCTGACAGTTCTGTAGGGCAGACCTCCAGATGGATGTGGCTGTGTTCTCTGCTTGGGGTGTCACAGGTGTGAACTCCAGGTGTCAAATGGTCTGAGCTCTAAGGGGAGACTCTGCTTCTCATTTGATCCAGGACTCAAATCCCTGTTTTCTCGCTGGTTCAGCCAGAGACCATTCTCAGCTTCCAAAGGCTGCCTACACTCCTTGGCTCATGTGATTATATCGAACCTCCCTGAATGATCCAGGCAAATCTCCCAACCTTAAAATCCATTGGTGAGTAACCTTAATCACACCTGCAAATTCCTTTTTCCCGGTAAGGTAACATAGTCACAGTACCAGAGATTACGGAGTGGAAAATTCTCAGGAGTCAGGATTCTGCAGACTTCCAGAATCCTGCTTGACCATATGCAGTAAGTGCCGGTGGTTATTTCACAGGGAAAATATAAATGCAACTGGGATCAGAACTTAGTGATGAATTGCCAATCAGAGAAGAATGGGAATCTAAAGTTGAAGCCACTAGTTAGATTGAGAGTTAAACTGAGTGATGAAAACAATAACAAATTCCCTCTTCAGGGGAGCCGAGATTCGTTGGTAAGCTGATAAGTGGATATAATCATTTCAGATAAACATGAGAGATAAGGAAAAACTTACACAGGGATTATCCAGGGAGAATTCCCTACTCACATGTTTGCTGCTCTTCTGTTTTCCTCCAAGGAAAAATGTACACCGGATCTGATCAAGGAGGTGATGGAGATTTGGCCACTTCTCCATACCCCCTTGTTGGGGGCACACTTGGGGCACACGGTCTACCTAGAGCGAGTTGTGAGTGTGAGAAAACCTTCAATGGCCCACATTCTGTGCGCTCTCCTTGCAAGCGGAATGTCCAGGTATGTCTCAGCATGTAAAGACCCTGTGCAAATCTCGCTGCTACAGGGATCTTAGAAACGGGTCTCTGTTCTGCACCAAGCCAGGCCATTCATTCACCTGCTGGAATCTTAACCGAGATTCACCTAGAGTTTATAATTGTGTCTGCTTGAGTTTTCTTCTCTTCCCACTTTTAAAATAACCGCTTCGTTTTGTCACGGGACGTTCTGCCTCAAGGATATGTGAATTTTTAAAACTTGTCTAGAGATGCATTGAGTGGCCTTAGAACAAAGAAGGTGAACAAATTGCCTTATTTTTTTATTTTTGGTGCAGCCCATCAGCCGGGCTTGTTCAGAACCCAGAAAGGAAGACACTATAGGGACATGGGGCTGGCAGAGGCCACAGAGAGGCATTTTGCAAGTTTCAAAGAGGATTTAAAGTGTCCCACAATCTGGGACTACTAAAAATAAAAAGAAGATGGTTTTATTAGAATTTTTTCTTCATTTCTGTGACCCCAATAGATAAAGTGCTGAGACAAAGATATCGGTTCTGTGTGCAGAGAATGTATACCAAACCTCTGCTTGATCCAGCTACGTATAAAATTGCCAAACTTTAGACCAGAAGCTGCCTAAGGAAGGTATTTGAGAAAAGTTGAGCTTTAAAATTGAAATATATATACACACACTCATAAAATATATACATACTATATATAATGTCTGCCTCTTTCTCTCTAGAGAGACTTATAATGTTATAAATTATTATAATGCTATATATGTTATACATTGTATAATTATCATATTAATGTATAAGAATGTATTTATGCAAAATCATAATGCTTTGTATTGTATTGTTATTTATAAATTATACATGTAACTTATTTCATATATATGGCATATATGTACATATACATAATGCTTCATGCGCATACATAGGCATGCATATATACACACACACACATACATATGTCATTTGGATATATCTAGCATTATAAAAGGCAATGCCTTTCCCAATTTTTCACTATCTCAGATAGGCCAGGTTCTGAATAGATTGTCTTTGAAGCCATTTACGTATCACTTATATAAATGTGTAAATAACTGTCCAAGGAAATGGGCTATTAAAGAAATTAATTTTTCTCCACGCCAGGGCTACATCCTTAAATCCTGAGCCGACAGCAAGGAGAAAGAAGTATTGGAATTTTCCCCGAAGATATACTGACTCTTCGACCCTGCAGGTCCACATGCAATATCTTCTCACACCTTCCGCACGGGATGCTTTATGGATGTTAAAAAGAGTCTTAGGTTTGTGGACTTCACTCTCCCTTTAAACTGCATGGCCTCGGTCATTCGCTGCTGGGTGAAGCGCCCCTGTGCAGACAGCCCAGTGTCACCCAGGGCCGGCTGGGACCCCGGGCAGAGGGACTAGCAGGTCATGTGTTGTCCCCCATGCCTCGGCATCCCACAGAGAGCTGTCCTTGCACAGACAGCAGGCCACACTGTGATTTGTGCTCCGGAGTGACCCACAGCCCTGCCGGTTCTTTCTTTTTCACAGGGGCTCCGGGGAAGGGGCCGGGGGTACCCGAGTGAGATGGGACGAGGCAGGTATTTGCGGGGCTCTGTTAGTGGAGAACAACCTCTTGCGCTGGGTGCCAACCTCTCTGTGCTAATCCCGGAGACAACCCCTTTATCCCTCTACCTAAACTTTTATAATAAAAAGAGATTAAGAGAACTTCTGTTTTATTCCTTTAAAAATACTCCTCATTAGTAACAATAATTACCTCCCCCGTTACCTGCAAGAGAGCTGGCATAGAGCATTCCTATCCAACGCAGGCTAACACTGTAACTCACTATAAAAAGCGCTAGCCGAAAAGAGTGCTAGTCATTTAATTTATGTTAAAATTGAATATAGAGAGATCTTGGAGAGGAGAGTGTAATCTCCATGCAAGATGTTTAAACCCTTTTATGCATCTGGTTATAAATATTAAAATCGCCTTATAATGCAGACATAATGTGGGCCCGCGGGGGAGAGAATTAGAGGGAAAGCAAAAGAGGAAACAGCGATACTCCCTTTCATGTAATTATTCTGCTTTCCAGACTTAATTTGATATTATGCATTGTTTTCTCATAATGTGCAAAATTATTTCAGTTTCTTTATTTCTATCGTTCCGAGCTGACATGAAAACTCTATTGTCTCTCATCTCCTCTTTTGAGCCAAAGAAGCCAAAACTTACTACCCTTGAAGCTTGATTTCCTCCTGCCTTTGTGTTTTCATCCTAGGATTTACTGTTTTGTCTTTTCTTCCGCAGTCTAAATCCGTCCTCTCTGGAAACACATGGCCACTATGATAAGTGTCAGTACGGTGACTTTCTATCCTTGCTTTTGGGATCATGCTGTACTTTTCTGTCCTCACTGGGTTTTACCTCAGTGACCTCACGCATTCATAAACGCACACGTGCTGGCGTGTGTGTGCAGCTTTGATGTCCTGCTACGAGGTTAACTCCTTAAGGACTTACAGTTTCTCTCACAGAGCACTCACACCATAGGGAACTTGTGAGCTGCTTGATGTGAAATGCAGAATCGATTGCAAATCATACATGCCTGATTCACTCAACACATATTTACTAAGCACCTACTGTATGAAAACATTATATAGCAACATAGATAGAAGCAAAAGTCCCTGCCCTCCCAGAATGAATACTGCTGTGTGTGAGTGCGAGGATGGTTTTACTCACAGAGGTGCAGATAATACAGGTGTTAACTACACATCACCATTTGTTCCACTGCTCACAGGCACGCCGTGACCTGAGGTTTGTAAGCGTGCTGGTATACCGCCTTTGCCTCGCACGTTTTCAAGCACGTTTGCAAGCAAACTCTTGAGTTTGCTCACGGTCTTGACTCTTCATGATTTCCTTAGCTCTCTTTTCCTTCTACGGTTTTCTTAGCCCCACATTTCCATGTCTCCTGGGGAGTAGTAAATATTTTATGTGAAAAGGAGACATGATTTCCTTGTTTCAGAGTGGGAATAAAACATGCTCAAAAAATACCTCAACTGTCCACATTACGGCACATCCCTACTGTCATTTATTAGCCAGGCTGTGGGGGTGTGCAAGGGACAGATGCCCAACATGGGTTAATCAGAAAAGGAAGCGGAAACGTACGGTCTCATAGAGCCAGAAGGCTCAAGCCAATCTGGACCCAGGAGCCCTGAAAAGACCCACACGTCCTTCTCTTCTTCCTGTCACAGCGGCCTGTGCGGGTCTCCTTCTGCAGAGATAGCTTCCTCTGCATTGTTGGAAAGTCCACCCCCGGCAGCTCAAAGTCACCCCCTTAACATGTGGGGACGCTAGCAGAAGATCCGCTCATGCTCAGCATCTATGCACAACACCCCTCTGAAGGACACTGGCTGGGCCTGCTGAAGCGATTGACAACGTCCCACCCTTGGGACCAAAGAATGTCATCAGAGGAATGAGCCCATGTGGCTAGCCAGGTCCAGCTCTCTGTGCACGGGAGGCAGGCAGACGCCTGTACCTGGGCCCACCAGGGCCAACGGCACATGGAGCAGTGGATGGGAGACAGGCAGACACCTGCGCCTGACCGATCCACCAGAGCCACGTAGATTGGAGGGACAGCCGTCCCTTGGCGGGAAGAAGATGGAGACCTAGAGAGCACACCATATGATCCTCATTTCCCCTGTCCAGAGTGAGCATGTCACTAGGTTCTCAGCAGTAGGCTCTGGAGTCAGACGCCAACCTGCAGCACCTGTTCTAAGCAACTCCGCCTCCATGAGCCACTCTGTGTTTAGATGCAGGACGTGCATACAATAGACCAGGGGTCTGCAAACTACAGTCCGCGGGGCACATGCAGCCAGCAGAAGATGTTTATCAGCCCCGCTGGGTGTTTTTGCCGCCACTGCCTGTCCTGCTTAGCAGCCGACTCCTCCCGGCCCACAGTGCGCATGTGTGGAATGTGTGCCGCACTCTCCAACGGTCTGAGGGACAGTGAACTGGCCCCCTGTTTAAAAAGTTTGAGTGTCCCTGCAATAGACCATGTCATCCTCACACCACGAGGATGAAAAGAGACAAGAGCTGTTGATCCAAGGATATGAAGCGTCAGGAAGAGTAAGTTCAGGGGATCTATTGTACAACCTGCCGACTATAGTAAATGACAACGTATTCTGTACTTGAAAGTTGTTAAGAGGGTAGATTTCTAAGTGTTCTCACCGCAAAAGAAAAGTGTGTGAGGTAATGCATATGTTAATTAGCTTGATGAGTATGTATCTCAAAACATCATGTTGTGCACCGTAAATATATAGCAATTTTTATTTGTCAATTTAAAACATCATAAATCAGTTTTTAGAAAGAGACGCTTGTTATAAAGTGAGGGGCACATGACTGAACATGGAGTGTATGTTCATTTAATATTAAGTCTGATTAATCAATGTGTTTTCGACGACCTGACGTCCTTGAGGCATAGACCGGCTACTGGGACCGCTCTGAGGAGACGGCGGGTGTTCATTCAGGTACTGACTCCGAATTCTGAAGTGTTTATAATCACGCGTGAGAAAAGGGAAGGCAGAGAAGCTATATTTATCCTTATCCTAGCAACGAGGAAGACCGTGGAAGAAAGTGAGATTTCTGGTTTCCTCGGCACACCCCCGCTGACTAACCCTAAACATCCCTCTTGTGTTGTATGTTGTCCCTAGTAAATGTCCCCTCCCATGATGGCCGGTCAGTGGAGTTTTCCTCTAAAAGTATGATTTGGTGCCTTCCGCTTCGAACCCTGTTTTTGTCTTCAATTTGCTTGTTTTAGATTTCAAGGAGATGTTTTATGGCCCTAATAGACCAAAGTGATAACGCACAACAGTGACCGCCTCTTAGTGTTTTTTACACTGTCGGCGTGTTTCCTCGTAGCCTTTGCCATTTCCGTCTGGGCACTACAGACGTGTTATAAGAAAGCCCAGATGTGTTATAAGAAATCTTTCTCCGGGGCTTGCTGTTTCTTTCACACTTGCATGTTTAGTTTTCTTGGCATAAAATGTGCATCGTGAGCTCTGACAACCTCGTGGAGACTTTATGGACCACGAGAGACAATCTTTTCATTTATTTCACTGCATTCCATGTAAAGTTTCTCTTGCACTAGAACGCACAGAAACGCGCACAAACCGTAAGAGTCCACATTTTCTCTTTAGTCAAAAATGTTTGCGGAACCACATTTGTACCACGTTGGGAATGACCCGCTTTCTCTGGGCCGCTCAGGCGTTTGGAAGTGTGATCTTCACCCTACTTCGTTTTGACTCACACTTGAGAACCACTTTTTCGGTTGACTCTGAGTTTGGATTTGCAAAATATCTTATTCATCATTCTCACACTTGTTTCTCTTCTCTCTACTTCACTTCCCCGCCCCTCGCCCCCCGCCCCTCGCCCCTCGCCCCTGGGCCTTTGTATTCTACCCACCCAACTGCACGCAGAGAATGTGAGTAATTACTACTCAGCGGCAGAAGACTGACCCGTGCCTTCCTGAGGAGGCCTGGGTGCTGTGTTCGGGCAGATTCCGATCCCGCTAATGAGGACACGGTCAACATCACTTCATTTGCGAGTTCATACCCTCCT